TTTACTCTCAAACTATTGACAACTTTTTTGTGTCAAAATATTGTTTGTAAAAGAAATTATGTATTCATTTGAAGTTTTAGTAAAAGTTTTGAAAGACTCTTTGAAATTAATAGTATTTAAATATTAAATTTTTACAAAAAGTTTTTAGTTTTAAAACTGGTTTTTAATTTCAATGTAAATTTGTAGACAATATATGAGTTTAAAAGCAGTAAAGTTAATGCAATGACACAAATGGTTTACAAAATATAACACATTTACGCCATTAAAATATAATTTTTAACGAATTTTACATTTGAAATACTATTTTGAAGCATGAGATTTGTTATGAAATTGATAAATCCTTCAAAATTAATATTGAATTTTATTTTCAAACTCGTTTTTGTGACTTTTAAATTATTCATCAAATTCAAACTTTAAATAAGTTATACTGTATTTACAGTATCATTGAGTTTAAAAATTTCAATAAAGTTTGTGTGACATTTTTATCGATTAATAATTACTTGACTTATTTTTGTTTGTTTTATTAATCAGTTTAGAAAGCATTTAAATTTTTGATTTACTGCCAATTTTATCATTGGTTTCAATGATTGTTTTTTAACCACAAAATATTAATTGATATAAAAATAAAACTTTAAGTACAATAGTTATTTGAACACATAATTCTTTAAATATTCTGTAACTACTCTAACATTTATTCATAGACTAAATGAATTATTTTAATTTATTACAAAATAAAAACAAAATATTTGAATAAAATGCAAATTCAACACAATTCCGACATCAGTCCAATGAATGCCATATCAATGGATGCCTTCCTATGAGATGAACTCAATGTCGAGGACCTCTAAGAAGAGGGAAAACTTCCCAAACATTACTCTTTAAACTATTATTCACAAAATATTAGACCATTGCGTGAGTTCTTTGACATCACTGTAGACACGACTTAAACGCTACACAAGTTATGAATCATAAATCAATGATTGAAATGAGGCCTAATTTATATGATATTAATTCAATTATTTTGACCCAATATTTATAGGTTTCATATCACACTCGGCGTCAAAGAAACAAATCTCTTTCATATTCACTGGATTTCTTAAAAATGAGACTTTTCTGACAAAAACCATTTTGATGTGGTATCACGTTTAGGTGCACTTTTCTATGAGGTTAACCCTTTTACATGCAATTTGTAAATTATAAAGTATTATAAGTCTAATAACTTTTAAATAAAGTCATAACAGGCTTATGTCTACTCAAATGCCAAACACATAATAGTAGTGGAAATGAATGAAAAGCTCTGTTCCCTACAAAACACTGTTATTGAAAAATACAAAACGAATGATAGAATTAAAGTTAGTTTTGTTGAACACAATATCAGTTATAAACATTATTCAGATGTAGTGCTCAATCAATGGGTGGGATGTGTTGAGCAGTTTATGACCTATTTTTGTCTTTTTAGGTTATCTGTAGTGATGTCTGTAGTCTTCCATAACTCGTTAACTCTTGGGATGTGATTCACTTAAACAATGTCTGAGTCTTCCAGAACCGGTCCAAAGAGATGAAGTGCCGGCAGTTTCTGCTTATGAATTGCAAAATAAGACGCTATTCTTGTGAAAGTTGCCAGTCTTCAAGACTATCAAATACTTACCACAGGTCTGCAATGAATTTTGATAATGTTTATGACATATTTGTATAATTTTTGTATTTAAATACTGATATTATTAGTGTGCAATCGATACAAATGAGATTTTACTTGAAGAAGTTTGCGATCCTTTGCTGGCGATGTCTGTTTCAAGATCTCAACGCAGTTTTATCCCATATTTATATCTATTTGTGCTTTAATTTGAAATTAATTTTTAGAATTTATAAGTCTCACGACTTCAGACAAAACTCATCAAACAATCAATTAAAAAGAAATACTTTTTTTTAAACCAACAATAGTTAAAAAGATGGGAGAGAGGGAGGGAGGGAGAGAGAGAGAGAGAGAACTTCTTTCAATAAATGTGTAATACTTTCGCAAATTTATATAAAATTTGCAGCAATTTATTTAATACTTGAAAATAAACAAAAAACTAATTACAGATTTATTTCAAAAGGACTATTATTACGGAAAAACATCTGCTAATTATAATAATATACAGTATTGTATTATATTGAATGCTAATAAGAAGTTGAATAACTGTTATTGAAATGAAAATGTGTTAAATCTTTTTAGAGTTGCATATGTATTAAGACATGTGGAGATATTATTATTATAGAATATGATTGAGTATAAAGTCTGCCTCTTTTGGAAATCCCGTCAAACTGGATGTACCACTTGTGATCCAATCCCATACCCAACACAAAAACATTGAATAACAGCTATATCTGAATAAAAGTTTTCTTCTATAGGTCACTACAACAGTATGCAATCAGTAGATTCACTGTTACATCTGAATAAAACATTTAGTTTAAGACTTTATGCTGTATTGCCTTAAAACGAATTATTTGTTTAATATTTCATTAAAAACAAAATAAGCATTATTGTTCGTATCAATTATTCTATGTTTCACTCATGAGTTTGAAATCAAGACGATCTCCCCCTCCACAAGAAGTAAGTGTCAAACGATTACTTTCATATGAAATATCAGTGAAATGCTAGAGAAGTGCTACCCTTGAAGGCATAGGAAGAGTGCATTTATGTAGAGATTCACTCGATTTGTAAGTTTATGTCTTAACCTCAATTTCCATAGCATTACGACAAGAATGGAAGTGCAAGTTCTTCATCGGAAAACAGGTTAATTGTATCACTCATGGCATCCAATAGTTCACTCTCTAAACGGCTAAATATAATCACAATTCTGTTGACAATCGGACTCTTCGTAACATTATTCAACTTTTATGGATTAAAGCGATTAGAAAGCGATCGCTTGGATTCACTCACATATTCTGTCAGCGAATTAGTCAAACCAAATGCAAACACTGAGTGCCAAATACCAGACATCAGACCCATTGCTTGGATATCAGGACAAAGAGTATAACAATTATTTTAAAACTTGAAAAGAGGTTATAATTATATTACATAACAAAAAGATTGAAGCAGGTTATTTGGATCATGTCATCGAAGTGTTTGATAGACTCGGATATCAGATCACTTATAATGGTTCTGATGGTGATTGGGATGTGCTTTGGTCTCACGAATACCCGTTTATGAAAAATTTCCTGCCTCATCTCAGACCATATCAAAGAGTAAGTCTTTTTAATTAAATTCTTATGAAATTTTTAGTAATTTTGAGTTTAAAATTAATTTTGGTAAATTAATTTTACCAAGACCAGTCATAAGATTTATGGTAGACAATAACTAATAATATCTAAAAGTCTGCCTAATTAAAGGTGAATAATGCTTTAACATTGTGAATAGTTTTATTTTTTATTTAAACTTTTGTTTTTACTTACATCATGTCCTTCAAGTAATCTACACAATAATTGAAGTAGTTTATATCATATAAATTTTATTATAAAATAAAAAATTAATCCAATGTTATTTTTAAAATCTAACTACAGGTCAATAAATTTCCCGGCTCAGGGTTCATCACAAACAAAGTGAATTTAGCCACTTCTCAACTCAAACATATTCCTCAGGCATTCAATCTGCCGTCAGAGAAGGAACAGTTCCTTAAACATGTGAGTCATACCTATAGGTGCTCTCAAATAATAGGATAAAACTGATGAGTTGTTTAAAGGCCAAAGAAAACCCCACAAAATTATGGGTTCAGAAGGATAGTAATCACCGGGGTATACGAGTTCTGGACTTAGATGCATTGAATTTGGAGGCATCAGGCACATTTGTTCAGGAGTACATTCAGAAGCCGTTTCTTATCGATGGAAAGTAAGTACAGTATAATTGCCCTCATTTTCTATTCATTACCATTTGAATAAATTCAATGTCATTACTATTTTTTAAAAAAAAATCTATTTCAATTTGCTGATAAAATACCGTAAATTTTATTGAATTCGATAAAAATAAGTTTTAAACATTGATTTGACAGAAAGTTTGATATCGGACTCTACGTGACAATGACTTCAATAAACCCATTGCGAGTGTATATCCTGGATCACGAAGCATTACTTCGATTCTGTGCCCGACTTTACTATCCATTCAATAGTACTGATTTGAATTCATATGTTGTTGGCGACGACTACACCCCAACCTGGATGGTTAGCCAGCCCTTCATTATTGCAAACTTTTAACTTGGAATTTATTTCCTCGTTATAGATGCCTTCGCTTAGAAAATACTTCATTGATCTGAATCTCAATATGAAAGAGACATTCAATGCATACCTGAGATCTCTAGGAAAAGATCCGAATTTTGTTTGGAAACAAATTGAAGACTCGATTAAAACAGTTTATTACGCCAAAGAGGAACAGATGCTTAAGTTGACGGACAACTTTGAGACCACCAGGTTCTCAACGAACATCTTATTCATAATTAATTGTTATCATTAAACCCATTCTTACATCCAATTGATAGACACTTCTTCGAAATGGTTCGCTTCGACTTTGCTTTAGATGAAGACCTAAATGTATATCTAATGGAAGCCAATATGTCTCCCAATTTATCGTCGGCTCATTTCGCACCCAATAAACTAATTTACGAACAGGTCATACAAACTTAAAGTCAATTTTTAGAAATAGTAATTATATGACTATTTTTAACATTTCAGGTGATATTCAATTTATTATCACTGGTAGGAGTGGCCCGAACTCTGAACACCCGCACGTGGCCTGATATGAGTCCAGAGTACTATAATATGATGGTCACCACCAAAGAGATGTCCGTTAATGAAGAGCTCTGTGCCGGTGCTGAGTGTCACTTGTCGTGCAAATCAAGTGTATGTGATGTCTGTTATCATTGTCTAAAAGACGAGCAAAAATTAGTGCTAAAAGATGCAGTTTTGGAGCAAAAATCCAAATGGAATGCAAAACGACTGATCCCTTCGACATCGGATGTGGACTCGGATCTCATGACAAGCGATACAAATAAACATCACTTGAAATGGTTTAGAGGAAAGTGTCAGCAAAACAAAGAGTGGTGCAATTGATTCATGTGTTTACTGGTTATACAAATAGAATTTAATTTATTTAAAAAACACTATATTTCTAAAGAAATACTGTATAAAAAAGTTTTATAAAATAAATAACTGATAGAATAGAAAATGATTACAAATAAATAAATATAAATACAATGAGATTCTCGTGGATTCATAATAAAGACTATTTTGAACACTTCGTTATAGGTTTGGGAATCTTTGAGGGAATTGAATGAAAACCATTCATATTATGGCTTCGAGGCAAACATTTTGAGACTGAATTAGAGTTATAATGACTACGAATGAGTTGAGGTAAAGAAGACTTGGGTTTCATTGAATCCTTTTTCACAGAATTCAATACACTATTGACGACTGAATTGTTGTTTACTTCGATCACCGGCTTATTGTTTAGTGAGCTATCAATTGTCAACTGAATAAACTCTTCCACCAATACTTTCAATTCTTCCTCTTCCATATGATTGTCTAAATTCCTGTCCAACTCATCGACCAATTGATTGATTGAATCGATGACATCGCGATCTCTTTCAGAGGACAGCATCTCTTTGAACATGTCTTTCGTTTGTGCGATTCTGACGCTAAGCTCTGGACTCTTAAGTAAAGGCTTCAATGTTTTTAAACATTTGCATACATTTAGTCTAATATTTGGCACTTTGTCGGTGCGAAGACTTAGTAAAGGCTCCAAAAAATAGGAAATAAATATATTTTCATCACATAATTCAATGATAATATAGCAGACGTTTATAAATAGCATTCTTTGGGACCAACTTTGACCACAACATAAAGTGGTGACAAACCACTGGTAAATATTAAATACTTCGGATAGAACCGGTAGATTAAGAAATAAAATTAGCAAACATCTAGACGTCTCGATTCGGGAAGGAATAGGTCTCTAAATATTGATACAGAAAATCACAATAAGTTATAAAAATGTTAAATTAAATTCATGTCAAATAATACGAACAGATGTGAGAATCCTATTGAGAAGTAATGGCAAGAATACTGTTTGAACGATATTGACGGGAAAGTGTACCAAAACTTGGATCAGATTTTCGTAGAATTTAATCTGTAATCTCCAGTCGAGGTTAAGACAAATTGTATTTTCACATCCAATTAAGTTTTGTATTAAATCGACAAATAACTCATTCTTTAAAAACAAACAAAAATGAGTTAATATTTTCTACAAAAATGTTTTAATCAAATGAATACCTTTTTGTCGATTGGCGTCGATTTGATTGTATTGATGAGAATTGTAGCCAATGAAGGGGACAAGGCTTTAATCACAATAATATTTCGTTGACTCATTAGTTTGGATAACTGTGGGTATAGTACGAATGGATTCTTCATAAGAATACAGATCTCATTGAACACAGAGCTTATGGCTCTGATAACACTGATGTCGAGATCACAGCAAAGAAAGTTGAGAATAGAAAAGAGCGTATCGTTTGAACCATAGATTTGCAGCAAAATCTATAGCACAGAAAATTAAATCACTGATTAAGACATGAATTGTTAGGGTTGAACACAAGTCTTACGGGGAAATAGACGGCTAGAAGGGTCCGGCATTGAGCGTCTCGTTCGGTAAACTTTGAAACTTTTGGCTCCATTTGGAAGTCATTGGAAATTAAGAAGACATTGCAGTAATAGTCGAGAAACCATTTCTCACGCGAAATCACATTCTTTGGCAAAGTTTGACACAATTTTGCGAAATTCATGAAAATAAAGCTCAGGGAACAGTCGTTCTTCACGAGAGCGAAATCAAAGATTGAGATAATTTGCGGTAAAATTATCTGTTTATTAAACTCGTCGTCAAATTTGGGGATCAAATCAATGAGCGACTCCACGGACGCGACTGTTGGACAAAAAACACAACAATTACTATGTTTTTAACGTTAAAATTGTTTTCTTAAATATGATAGAAATGAAGATTACTTCTGACGATGAGTTCGCTGTCGTTCGTCAAATCCATGAGTTTCGGCAGAATTTGTGTCTTAATTGTCTGCAAACTAATCAAACAAATCACTCAACATTTGGGTCACAAATGGATTGATAAGAAAAATACCTAAAGTTTTGCGACAAAACAAACATTTGTCTGGAGATATGGGCTCTGATGGAGGGCTGCAAGTTCTGCAAACTAATCAAACAAATCACTCAACATTTGGGTCACAAATGGATTGATAAGAAAAATACCTAAAGTTTTGCGACAAAACAAACATTTGTCTGGAGATATGGGCTCTGATGGAGGGCTGCAAGTCTTGGCACAGGTATTGCACTAACGGTAGGATTCGGTCCATAAAAACGCGTTCATTAAGACGTCGACTCAGTTTGGACACCATATGACAACTGAACTCACGGTTCGCCACCGACTCGCTTCGGGTCTTATCGGTGGTCATCCTCAGCACATCCGACAGCATCGACTCGTTTATCACATTATTGTCGATCATGTCCAACAAGACATAGTTCCAGACGTTGCACTTGTCTGCGAACGCCATTCAAAGCATTAGTCATTAGTCTAAGCAATCAATGGATCAAATGGTGACCGACTGATACCTGGATTGTTGGACACTTTGGCCACCAGTGTGTAGAAGAAGTCATTGAAAGACAAGCGATTCTTCAGATCATTCACTTCCTCTATTTGGTTCACTTGATTGCCAATCAATGGGTGACTCAAAGCCAAGTGATTGTTGTCATTATCTTCAGTGTTATCATTGACTGACATCTTATGTATAAATACAAGACAAACACAATTCAACACTATTTACACAATTATTATCACATTTTTTGGCAAATGTTTGCTATATTTGTCTCAAAATTGGTTAAATCATTGACAATAGTATTGCGAAAACGTTTACATTATTATGAGATTATATGAAACTTTCAAAAAGTCATACAAATATGAAAACAATAGAAAACTGAGCGAAACGTTACAAAAGTGATCAAAAAATGTGCGTTTGTTTGACATATCACTGAATCACTCATTGGATCAGCGATTGGATTGTCATTTGATGTCAATTTGCAAACATAACTGTAATCGTTATGCGCTATTGACTCATATATGCGGCTATACTGTACTGTCGTCTATAGGTATTGCGTTCGGGGCTCTACTTAACACTCCATAAACACAACACGTAATGCAAAAAGTTATGCATTTTGTGTACATATGACTTACAGTCGGGTTAAGACAGCATTACATAGAAATCAATGCATTTTTTTATACAAATATTTTTTCTTTAAACTTCAGATTAAAAAAGTTTTAAAAAGTTTTGATACGATATACAGGTATAAAAATGCTAGAAAAGAGTGGTTATAATGAATGGCATGAGAGTTGAGGCGATAAGAGAAAGACAATAATTGTTTGTCGTATTGAAATATAAGGCAAACATAGGATTAAAAAAGTTTTTTGTGTGAAACGAAAACTGAGCCCAAAATTACAGACAAGTCTATGGTTTGGATACGCATTAGGTCTCAGTTTAATGTGTTGTTGTGTTTCGCCATTCATTTCCCATTGAAAGGCATTAGCATTGAAGGCATCACTGAATGCATTGAATCGACTGTAGGTTTGGGGAGCGCTCGCAGTGTTTGTCTCTCTCCCTCTCTCTCTCTCCCTCTCTCTCTCCCTCTCTCACACACATATCGACTGTATATTTACAGTACATATCTGTGTATGTATTGTATGTATTGAGAGGTGAACTCAAAAATAAGGGGAAAAATGTTTCGCCAATTCGTTCACGCATTCAATGGTTGAGTGTTTTCCCCAAAACCGTACTCTTTGTTACACTTTCCACAAAATGGCCGACACTTCCACTGCACTCCGAGTCATTTGATCACCACTTCTGTCACCACAACTGATCCACGCCATCATTGCGAGCATATATCGCTGTGTTTTTCATATATCCTGATTGCGAGGCCTCTGCCAAGTGGTGATCCCTTCAATGGTTTGACGAAAAGACTGCAAATCTGGTCACTAATGGATACAAATCTTTTATAACAAGACTTTTAATTCAATTGATTTGTGCGTTCACTCAATCCATTGAGTGGTTGTTCAGCCAAACGTATTATCCATATCTGTATTGTCTGTTCACTGGACATCAACACTAAGAGAGACAGAGAGAGGAATGTCTTCGACGTCGACGACCACCTCCTCATCCCGTTCTTCGAGACCAATGAAGAGATCGCGTAAAAAGACGATTAAAGGTGTTTGCGATGCCATGGATGAGACCAAATGCGAGACAATTAATGGTAAATATCCCTCACATATGTTGCCGATGTCATCAATTGACTGATTTTAACCATTTTGATGTCATCTGCAGATGAGTTATCATTAATTGGGAACAAGTCTTCGTGTGTTTCGCCACAATCGCCGTCATCTTCATGTGTGAGTCCACTGCTGTTCGGATGCCATCACTCGCCATACGATTTACGACGAAAGTTGTCGCCAATCCATGAGTCCGTGTCAGTCATATTGCACTCATCGTTGGCCACCACTTGTGGCACCACTTCATCCACATCTGCCTCAACAATACCTCCGTCTTCTTCGTCGTCGTCTTCGAGTTGTTCTTCGAGTTCGAGCTCTTCCTCTTCGTGTCATTCAAACGCATCGTTTTCTTTACAATCGATGAATTGCAAGAAAAGGCCAAAAAAATCCAATTATCACCACATGAATGAAGGTCTGTCGCAATCCATTGGCGCGTCAATTGTGGACACAATTTAACCCGTGTTTTGATCCCAGGTTTAGGAACGGCTGCACTCTATCTGCTGTACGAACTGCCAGACGAAGTACTTCTTACGATATTCTCTTACCTTTTGGAACAAGACTTGTGTCGAGTATCACAAGTCTGTAAGCGCTTCCACACCATATCAAACGACTGTGAATTATGGTAAGTGTTGGCTAATTGTGTGTCCGATTGCTTTGAATTAACGGTCGGTTTGTGTGCTTTTAGGAAAACTCTTTACCATAATGTCTATGAATATGATTCACCGCTCTTTCACTCGAGTCTATGTAAGTTTGAGTTCATTTCGTACGACGACTGCGAACTCGAGAACCCATGGAAGGAGTCTTTCAAACAATTGGTCCGTCCTTTGATCACATGTACACATGTATTGAATCTAACGGTGTGTCTGTGTCTGTCATTTAGTATCGAGGGGTTCACGTGAGGCCCGGATATCAGGAGCAGTTTGAGGCAAACCCGGAGCGATATAAGGGTCGGAATATAACATATTTCGATCGCATAGAGCAGGCGTTCACGTACTCCGAAGAGTTAGAAAATTCGTTTAAATATAGTTTGCCATTAAATATACACACAAATGTGTACTCAATTGGCAGTAATTAGCGCATATTTTCTATGCTAATGATTTAGCATTGACTTTGTATGATAGTATCAGGGTTATGGTTACGGTTATTGGTGATTGCATATGCATGTGTTCGTGATTGCAAACTCATGGCACTGACCATAGCATAACCATATGATATGATATGTGGTGATAGGTTGACATGACTGGCATAGCTGTGCCATACCCTCATCCCCTTAAGATGCTATCAATGCCATAGCACTGAACCCAATGTCGACTCATTCACCTCCGATTCAGGTCTCTCTCCCATTACAAGTCCTTTATAACCATCTGTTATACCGTTCCTCTCAATTGTGTTTGCAATACATTTAGGTGTATATCATATCATATCTACTGTTTGTTGAGTTCATTGCTGATAATAAGCGTTCAATTATATCAATACCTGTATTCAAACAAACATTACATACAAATGATTGTTGCAATGGTTGGATCAGTTGAGCATTGATTTAGACGTCAATTCATTGCACTTATTTGCAAATGTATGTCTCAAATGCAGTCATTGTGTGATAGTATGTATGAAATGGTGAGCTATTAATTCATTTATGCCAATTGTGGGCAAATGAAGCCAAAGTTGACCCACTTTTACAACTTATAGCAAACTTCAAACTTACCGTTCATATGGAGATCAATGTTCGAGCAGATCGTTCAGATCGTTCACCCAACCCAAGTCACTGCACTCAGCCCTACAGCTCACCACTCGGGCACACCATTCCACACACAGTCTCTCTCTCTCTCTCCCTCTCTCTCTCTCTCTCTCTCTCTCACCTTTTGAGAAGAGAGTCGGGTTTAAAGACATCACATGTTATGAATAGTGTTATATATTCATGAAAGACCACTTTTATATTGTATTAATTTTAGTCTGTATTTAGAAATGCATTGAATCAGTGATCTATTATTAAAAGCTGTGTTGACCTCGTGTTCGGTGCTCTACCACTGTCTCCGGTCCTCACTCTCCCGCTCTCTCCCCGACTCTCTCACTCATTCACTCACGTATCAAATGAATCAATGCTTTGCCAAACAATTCATCATTTTTTTGCATATGACGTGAGAATATGAAAATGTGTCCAAACCTTATGGTGAGACATAAAAATATTTAGGAGTTCTTGGCCTCAGTTTACACTAGTTTTGGTGAAGTGTTTGTCCGACACATCTCAATGTCAACAGTGAATCAGATTTAAGAATATTTTCTCGTTTTCATACATATCTCAGTGTTTAATGAATTGAATGTTTGAATGTTTCCCTTAGAAGTGGATGTCTTTGAAAGCATTGATAAAACACTTTATTTATTGCTTACTCTTGAAAACTGGTAGCAAAACCACATTTTTGTTGCTTTTTATTCATATGTGTTCTTGAAATTCAATGCACTGAGAGGTGGACAGCCCTAAGCTCATTGACTTTAATGAACTATAATACCATACCTGTGACAATGCAATGACATCCGACTTATTTGTTGTGTTTATGTCTCAGAAGTAAATACCAGAGATTACGAGCGCTAGTGGTTGTGATCCAGTGGTCGTAATCGCTTTGAACCTCACTTTTCGTGGAATCCGGAGTCCGACAAATCGCCCAAAAACGGAACCGACTCCGGGCAACAGTAGCAGCAGCAGTGGTGGCAGCGCTAACAGCGGAGGTTGTGGTAATATCAACAGCAGCAGCAGCACCGGTATGGCCGTATCGCGCGCCCCATCGCCGCCGCCCACCAATGAAGCCAATACTCCGGTGGCCGAGAGTTGGTGTTACACTCAGGTGAAGGTGATTAAGTTCTCGTACATGTGGACGATCAACAACTTCAGCTTCTGTCGCGAGGAGATGGGCGAAGTCCTCAAGAGCTCCACCTTCTCGGCCGGTGCTAACGATAAACTCAAATGGTATGTCACATGCTCACCCCTATGTCTACATGTCTACCCTATGTCCACATGTCTACATATCCCTCGTCTTCCCACTTCAGGTGTTTACGAGTCAATCCCAAAGGGTTAGACGAAGAGAGCAAAGACTACCTGTCCTTATATCTACTGCTAGTCTCTTGCAATAAGACCGAAGTGAGGGCTAAATTCAAATTCTCTATACTTAACGCTAAGAGAGAAGAGACCAAAGCTATGGGTAAGTCATCGATAGTCGCTGTCTAGAGATGCCATCATAACTGACGCTACTGTTGCTATTGATATCACAGAGAGCCAGAGAGCCTACCGGTTCGTACAGGGAAAGGACTGGGGCTTCAAGAAGTTTATTAGAAGGGATTTCCTATTGGATGAGGCGAACGGTTTGCTTCCCGACGACAAACTCACTCTCTATTGTGAAGTAAGTGTTGATTATATATATATTGTCGTGAATTTGATGACTCATTGTATGGTTGTGTTTGTGGACGGGTAGGTGAGTGTTGTGGCCGATTCAGTCAACATATCGGGTCAAAACAATTCAATACAGTTTAAGGTTCCGGAGTGTCGTCTCTCCGATGATCTGAGTATTCTATTCGAGAGCCAAAAATTTAGTGATGTTTTACTAGTGGTAAACGGACGCGAATATTATGCACACAAAGCCATTCTCGCGGCCCGATCTCCAGTCTTCGCCGCTATGTTTGAACACGAGATGGAGGAGAAGAAGCAGAACAAAGTGGAGATCACAGACATGGACCACGAAGTGCTCAGAGAAATGCTGCGATTCATATACACCGGCAAAGCGACCAATTTAGAGAAAATGGACGCCGACTTACTGGCGGCCGCTGACAAAGTGAGCCATCATTTGTCATTTGTGTGCCATTGAGTGCATGATCTGATTGTGTGTCTCATTTGTTGACTGATAGTACGATTTGGAACGACTGAAAGTGATGTGTGAAGAGTCTCTCTGTTCCAACTTATCGGTGGAGACGGCGGCAGAGGTGCTGATACTGGCAGACATGCACAGCGCCAACCAATTGAAAGCACACGCCATTGAATACATCAATACGTAAGCCATGAATGATTGTCATGTTAACGATGTACTGGTTGTGTAACGATGTGTTGTATGGTTGCAGACACGCCACAGACATAATGGAAACCCAGGGCTGGAAGACAATGATCAACAGACAGCCCCATCTCATAGCAGAAGCGTTTAGAGCGTTGGCCACACAACAAATGCCTCCAATAGGTCCGCCCCGTAAACGGATTAAACAGTCTTAAGACTTTGTGAAACGTTAGGTTTATTACAATTATTAGAGTATTGAGTGAATGAAAGCCATGAAAACAGTTAGAACTGATAGACTCTAACCAACAACTTCTTGCACCAGTAGTTCTTCCCTGTGCTCTACAACTTGTTTGATGTGAAGTGAACTTATTATTGAAATGAATGCCTTCTAAACCAGTGGATAATCAATGAGACGACTGGTCCGCAAGAGTTGAGCCCACCTTTTCATACGATTTATTTTGGAAACAAGTCTTAAACTATTTTACAAACAAATCCCTCAAAAACTATGTTTAAAGTGATTCTTGAAGATCTCGTGTTTATGTGAAACAAACTGCAATCAAATATACATATATTTATCGATCAGACAATTGTCAACAGTTTTTTGTAAATGACATCAAATTATTTGTTCATTAATTCACATTCAATTGCATTAAGACTTCATCGGAAATGTCTGTCAATCACTGTCGCATGTCTTACGGTGGGATCGATTCATAACTTAATTATTGATATTATAATTAAAGCACAAGCGATGAGATGCCGCGTAAGACAAGCGATTAATTTATAAATTACTGTCAACTCATACCGATTTGATGTTTCTATCATTGATTCAAATATTTGATGTATTAGTTATGCAAATATTGTATAAAACGCTACTATTATTGCAAACAAAACAACAAATATTTGCTGAGAATATAAGTAATACCAGTGAACACCCAAAACAGACCTAAACTCTTATTATATACAATAAGTTATGTATTAATTAATTCAACCATTGATATGAAATCTTGATTTAAATTTTATGTTATTATAATATTTAAGTATATATAGTCTAAAACTAAACTAAATTTAAGCCAAAGTATTGCGAATCGACTTTATTTAAACTGATTTCATAGTAAATTGAAACTCATTTTATTAATTGAACGCTTTTTATTTAAATTGTCGACCAATAAGCACTTAAATGATGCGCTCATTCATTCATTGATTCGTCAAAATCACTGCCAATTCATATGCGGTTTGAATTGGTGGCACAGCCTCACCATTACGACCTCAAGTCACGGCAACACATGTTGTAATATATAGTATTTGTGAATACAGTATTTGTTTCATTTGATCCCAATTCAGTTATCGCTAGCCATTCAATCAATTAATAAATGTCAATATAGTTTCATAGCTTTAAGTCCACAACGAATTTATAATTTTTTTCTCAATATATTTTTTTATAACAAATTGCAGTATTTAATTGGTGGTGTAAAAGGTTTATTTGTAAATATCACCGGTGATACATTATACTAATTGTTTTACGTAAGTACTTGTATTAGTTATACTGTCAAGTAAGTTATGCGGAATAATTATTCGCCATTAATTACCAAAAGGTCAACAAATGCTAAATGCTATCAAATTAAATATTAAAGCATTTAGCTGGTTACAGTATTATGATAATTTGTTATTCAGTTTGGATTTCTTGGAATAATTATATTAAAAATACTCTCAATTCTTTAGCAGTTGTTTACTTTTGACAACTTTTAACATAAATATTTATATGACTTGCAAATTGGTTTAACCGTATATTTTTGCATTCTTTCATCTTTTCTATCAGTTTACAAGTTTTGTTTCTATATAAACAGGCAGTCAATTGAAAAGTAGTTTTTCTTAAGAATACTGGTACTGTATATCAATTCTAGTCAATAAGTTATTGACAATAACATAATTTATTTCAATATACCGTAGTTGTAGTATGATTAGCTATTCTTAGTAAGTTACATACATTTAATTACAATCGCATATTGGCAAATAAGTTTGAATTATTATATAAATTATTTTAAAACTTCTTATATTAAACAATAATGCATTTAAAACAATTCTTTAATGCAATGTTACAAAAGTCTGGAAATTACAGGCAATTAATTAAACACTAAAAGACAGGTTTTCTCCCTTAAACATACATTTGACGACAAATTCAATGTTTATTTCATTAAATCTTCATTTGA